CTGAGCCAGCTGCCAGGCGGGAGCTCGTGAGCGCCTCCGGTCGACACCACCCAGCTGGACCGGTCAACACCATGTGGCCCTCTTCACCCAATGGGTATCGACTGGACTGGTCGACCTGTTCCGAAGCGAACCCATCAGGTCGGAAGCGCCGGCGGTGAGCTATCCCTAGGACTGAGCTACACATCCCATCTACTGTAGAGGACCGGAGCAATGATGGAAGCCATAGAAGTTGGGTAGCCAGGACAAACACCCAAACCAGGATGCAAACGACTGAAAGGGCAGACATGTTACATGTTTGCATGTCGTTGGAAGACCCAGCAAAAAAAAACACATGTGAGCAGCATTGAGCACCCATCACTTGACTGTCCTGTTTGCATCCTGGAACCAGGGTGCCTTTCATCCACAACAACCAGCCGTGAACACGGCAGTATTTTGTGGGCAGGAATCGAAGATCCAATTCTTAGGAATCAAATAGAACCAGTGTTCCGGTCTATCCCTAGGGCTCCTGGCCCATCTCCTCAGGTTCGGTGGTTAGGCCCCCCCTGCCACCCACCCCAACCATCTTCGAAACGGAGGTACGACTGATGGGCCTAGGGGTGATCTGAGTGATCTGTGTTTTTTGGAACTCCAACTTGCAGAGTTGCACGTGGGTGTGTATTTCGAAAGACCACTTCACCCAATGGGTAGACTGGTTCTTCCATGTTCCGGTTCCCGACCCCACAACGGTTGGAACGCCTGCAGCTCGGTCTGCAGTTCGTCGGAACGCTACACATCCAAATGGGTTTCCAGATCTCAGGACTCCTGAGATTGGAGTATCTTCAACCCTAAGGATCCGCACCCGAAACAAAACGCGGGTTTTGAGGGTACAAACCCTTGTTATAGAGGCTTCGACCCCTTCTAAGGAGGGTCCGTTCGGATCCTTAGGGAAGAACTTCGCATCGTATTTAAGGACCAGCAATCAGAAAAAGCCTCATGAATCTGTGGACAATTGAAGATTTTGAAGAGAACATGTGATCCAAGTTAGGTGTGGAGTCTCAGTGAGTCTCAGTACCTCGGAAAACTGGTCTTCCGATCTACCGATCGACCGACTGCTCGGGTCCATGTTCCATGAAGTTCGACGATCCTTGGCATGTCAACTCGTCAGTTGCATAAAGAGAAAACGTTGATTTTCCATCCACACTGCAGAAGTTCTAGACCGATACCCTCGATTCATCCATAGAACCACCCAATGTGAAACAAAAGTTCTGCACATTCGAAGAAAGAAGGAAGGATTTCAGGAAGTCTACTCTTGGACTGCCAGGGTTGATTCCATGCTGGATGGTGAAGCATTCATGATGCTTTCTGTTGAAGAAGATGATGTGGCCTTGGCTCAGCCGCCTCAGCCGGCTCAGGCGTCCACGTCCGACCGCTCGGTTTCCCCGTCCTCGATCTGGCGTCGTCGGTCCTGGCGCCGGTGTGATAGCCAAAAGAAGCATGAAGAATCCGTAGCATCCTTGAAAAAGGTTGAGGGTTTAGGGTACATGTTAGCATGGTCCATAGTCCATATAGCCAAAGAGTCCGCCAAAAAATGTTCCTTTTGGGGATATGTCTTAGCACATTTTAGGTCGATCGTGTCCCATCCTTGAACATGTTTATTTGGCACCAGTTACTCAGTTGTCATCATTTGAACGACTATTTTGAGTGGTAAGGTTTTACACTACAACACCAGATCAAGCAGTTCTTATATGGTCGAACGGACTTCCAGTACTGAAGACAGGATTCAAAGGATGGAACCCTAGGGCTCCCCCACATCGTTGTTGGGGTGGGGGCTAGAGAGGTCTGACTATTTCTGAGAATGTGGAGGAAATGAATCATTGGTGGAGTGTTTGTCCAAATACCACTCACGTACACCGAAAATTGCCTGGATCTTTAACATGCAGAACTTTGTGCCAAAACCTGACTGGTTTTAGACGATTTTAGAGCTGAAAAGTTTTGGGCCGGTTGGGGGGGGGTAGGCTCATCTACCTGGATCTTCCAACGACATGCAACAATTTGGTGCCTTCCGCCTAACACGGCTGGTTTTAGAGTTCAAAAGGCAAAGGTTTTGCATGTCGTTGGAAGATCCAGGTATGTACTTTTGGGGACTTTTGGGGAGTCCAGCCGACGATCTTTATTATCTGACGAAAGCCAAATGAAACGGAACTTTCTTGAAAAGGAAAACAAGTCCAACGGGACGTTGTACTGAAAAAGGCGGGTAATTAGGACTCGTCGATGAAGCTGGGTGTAAGATGATGTAAGAAGCCGGGGTGAACTCAACATGTTTGGTCAGGAGTCTGACAAACAAGTTCTGCTCTACGACAAGCTTTAAAGACTTATAGGATCTGCAGAGACAAAAGCTGAGTATTAGATAGGATCTTGTTTTGAAGCAAAACTCTAGGATGTCTTAGGCAGCTCGGGATACAGCTGAGGGGCAAGATTGATGAATACCTCCAGTCGACCAGTGAAAGTAACGTGGAAAGGGGTACAAGTATAAAGTACCGTATTTTGTTCGGGTCTTGTCTTGTCCCATTTTCTAAGGTACTTTGGAAGGTCCAGGAAGATGTAATGTGATATACTGATGTAACATGATGTAACCGGCAGGTAATACAATGATATGATATCTAATTTGTGCAACTGATATTGATTCACTGTTGGTCTGTTGCTGCCTTCATGGGAAGCATGGTGCAGGGGAATCTGTTCAACTTTGGCCCGTTCCATCCATACTGACCCTCATAAACCTATATCAGCTTGACATAGCTGTGCCGCTGGCCGCCCAGCACGGATGTCCAAAAAACAGCGATACATATCTACTTGTGAAGGTTCTTGCGGCTGAAGGGCAATCAATGTGCGAAATAACTGTGGGACTACCAACTATCCGGGTGATGGGTATCTGGCAAAAGGTTGCATACTGTGCACAACGCGCACGACCACGACGCGCACAACGCGCAGAAAACCTATCAATACTTGTCAATACCCCACAATCATATGTCCCAATCGGTTTGGATCCACCTACTGATGGCAGTTCCAACGTGGGATCGATCGACAACCCGCCTCTGCCCGTCGCTCCAAATCAGCCAGCTCCCGTTCCCGCAACCTGCCCAGCACGACGCCAAGCCCGAAAGCACCGAACCACGTTCAACCACCCGGTGTTATAGCCATCCTGTCTGGGTCTCCTGGCAGGACTGCACTACCTAAGCATCTCCAGACAGGACACCATGGACACCTAGACAGAAAAATCCAGGAGTATTCCAGGAGTGTATGTTTGTTCTTTTGAACAGCGAGCTTTATTGCCATGAAGGTGGCTTGAAGTCCATAAAACCTTCTATTCCAACCACCATTTCATTTACTTATAGGTTTGAAGTACCTATCGAAAACACCACCATTTCCCGGGTCGTTTTCGATCTCCGTTTTGGGACGACCGGCTGGAAAGGTCCTTTTTGGGGACTCGAAACCCACCGAGCCGTCCGTGGAGCGGTCCGTGCCCCGGCAAACCTCCAAAAGCCCGAGACATGCACACATCTGCCGGCCATAAACACCCCCACCCGAAGCGTGACCATCGAATCGAAACGCCCAACGAAGACCGGAATGAAAACGGTTTTTTGTCCAGGGCCAACACCAAAACCGAGACCCAGCTGGAGAAGTCGTCGACGGCCATTTGTCTTCGCTCCACACGGTCTCGCTCCGCCGCTTGGTCGAACACCACGACGACGGATGAAGAAATGATGCTCGCGGAGCTGTGAGATTGGTAAACAGGTCCAAGACCGCTATCCGTCAGAAACACCGCTCTCCGCTGAACCCGCTGCTTGCGTGTGAAAAAGAAGTAAAAACATCAGATTCCGAGCAATTCTCCAGCCAGGGAAATCGGGTTGCAGTCAGACGCGATCACTGTTGCATGACATCTCCGCGGACACCACTCAAGGGAGAATATTAAGAGCTCAGGCAGCTGAATGCACAAACCCTGCTGAATTCCAGGTCGTTCGAAGACGTTATTCTCATCTATAGAATCTAGACATTCTGATTCTAATCATTCTGGTTCTGCCATAAGGATCCGCACCCTCAAAAAGAGGGTTTTGAGGGGCCCCAACCCCTTGTGAACTAGAGGGTTCGACCCCTTCTAAGGAGGGTCCGTTCGGATCCTTAGGGTGGATCAAACGTGGATCTATGTCTCCAGTGAACATCCCATGAAGGACGTTCAACCGCCCTCCTCGAAGCTTCTCTGGGGCCCTCAAAGTCCGTGCGTATACGTTGGACCCAAGCACATCTCAAAGATCCTCATGGAAGTTCAACCCGCGCACATGTCAAATGCCGTCTTGGAAACTTTTGCCTCTGCATAGCTCTCTTTTTTCCTGAAGAATTTCCTAGACCTCTCAACAAAGATCCAAATCCACGAATCCATGTTGATCACCAGTGGTGAAAAACCCTAACATATTAAGGAGTTCCACGCCGGGGTGTTTTTGTTTTCTTTTTTCAGACGAATCCAGGGGCCGTGGATGTGATGGTCGGTGCACCGACTTACTCCTTCCTCCGTTCGTCCGGCACCCCGAACATGGAACTGCTGCTTGCATGATGTGTCTTTTTATCCTCTGAGCTTGTGGATTGACCAGGAGTTACAGAAGGGGTGGTGTGGCTCGTCCCATCCAGGGCTTGTGGATGCTCTGGCCTCTGGCCACCCCTAACCTCCATGGATAGCACCCAACTCTATGGAACTGGGAAGGCACCCTTCTTGTCCATCACTTTGGCGAGACCTGTGACCTGGCTCTTTGGGGGACTCATTCAGATCCTGGCTCATCGACCTAGCTATCCATCAAGTCCAGCCAGAGCTTGGCATCAAGAGGACCACATGTTCATCTTGGAGTTGCTTAAGGAACCGGAGGACATGAGCAACATCTTTCCGGAGGATTCATCCAGTTGGCCAAACAACACAATCGCCCAAAAACCGGTCTATAAGAGCAACACAACATACTGCAGATCTTCATGGATTGAAACCGGTTCCATTGGCTCAGCTCCGAAATCAAAGGAAGATTCGACCCGTTTGGAGTCGTGTCGGATGAATCTGGCACGGCGCAGATTCGCGACGACATGTGCAGCTCACAAATGATTGAAAGCCTGATGATCCGCCTTCGATTCACAAGTGCGGTGGTGAGGCGGAGGGCAAATGGAGCCAACACTCGTGACGAAGTTCAGTTTGTTAAGTATGAACCATCCAACACGTGGCTCGGTCCCATGATTCCTCCAAAGAGTACCTGATTACCATGTGATGCAGGCTGAGCAAGTCCCGGACTATCCAAGACTATCCCTAGGCCTCCAAATACCTTCTGAGTGGAGGGTCCAAATGCCTTCTGAGCCAACCTGGACAAACCCCGTATAGACAAACCCCTCCATCTCCCGGGACCTCGCCGCATTGACGCACCGTTCGACCAACACTTCCATTGCTTCGCAACCCCAAAAAACCTTTGGCCCGTCGCCGTTGGCCGTCCAAGGGGCCGATTGGAACTGGAGGATCACCTGAATGATGCCCATCAGCTCCTGAAAAGACGATACACGGCGGCCAGGATCAGCCGGGGATGAATGTGAAGATGAGAATATGATCATGGTCAATACATGTCAATCCCCCCAACAAACCGGCCTGGCCTGTTTGGTTTTGGAATGAAAACGATACGAAACTATGAGTGGGTTGAATCAAATACATTGTAAAAACAAAGAAAAACACACTTGAAACCACCAACGAATCCGGACCCCTGACCCGAGGATTCGGGTCCGGCCCCGGTCCAGCTGCTGAGCTGAGCTGCACCAGACTCAAGACCCAGACTGACCGCTGACCGCTTCGGTTCGATGAACCGAAAGAGCTTCGGTGAACCTCACGGGCACCCCAGTTCGATGCCTTAGACGGGGTCCGTAGAAACCATCGATATTCTATAGATATTCTAAGATCGTGATTGAATGGGTGGATCAGAGTCCGGACCTGTTGACAGAATCCATGATGTTCTCATGTCATCCAAAGTCCTCTCGACCCACCGAGGCCTCTCACTTCGCCCAAACAGATCTAGCACCTCATAGCTCGTCCCCACCTGAGAGGTCTACGGCTCAACTAGACCCACCCAGGATGCGCCAGGTGCTGGGCCCAAGCCGACGACTCAGGTGGAGCGCCGTCCTGTTGGGGTCCCCAGTAAAGGCCCACATCCTGCAGCACCACCTGGCGCGGGTCCAGGTGTCAAAAGACCAGAACAATCCAACTAACAGAGGTTAAGTCACCGTAAATAGGACCCTACCAGGGTACCTATGGGATAGTCTATAGAGTTCCTTCAACCTCTGTTGGATTGGCACAGAATACTTGGAGTCTCCGTTCAAACCTGGGAAATGGGTACAATAAAGTACCTGTTCTTGTTCGGGTCATGTTCCATTTTCTATATATATAAGGTACGACCGGTCCGAAAACGGGTCCAGGTCGGCGTCTGCGGGCTCCCAGGAGCTTCCGGGAAAGAATCAAAGCTCTTCGCCAGGAAGCAGGGATACTACCCAATGGGGGCACAGCATGGCACAGCTGTAGAGCCCCTGAACATCCCAGTTCGTGTTGGGAAAAAATAAACAAAAAACAAAAAGACAAAACATTCTTCCGTGCTTGACTCGGAGGGCGGGCTATCAGGACAAACAGCACTGATATGTTACTCTTCATTGTGAGCTTAGAACTCTTTCACACAACTGCATTGGCATTGTAACAAGGAAGAAGGAAGGATCGCTTGGGGAGCTCCTTCGCAAAAGTCCTGTCATCTCAGAGTCTTGTCATCTCTTGTCTGACAATCCGCACCCTGGATCTTGTTGGCTTTGAGGGTCGTCAGGGATATGGAGGGATACTGCAGAGGATAGCGGCCAGGTAGCGACCCCCCTCAGATATCCTCAGGTCCCACTGGCCTGTCGGGAGATCATTTGTGGAAAGACTTCTCTTGGGAGCTGCGAAAAGAGCAGGAAGCCCTTCCCAAGCACCTGGCAGCGACGAAGACTGTGAAACTGCTGCGGTTAGAGCAGTTCTCACGGAGATGGAAGTGAATCGAAAGAATCGACAAAACATTGAGAGGAGCTCTGGTCCTTAAAAGAATCTGAATATAAACAAAGCCAACAAAAACACCAATGATGGACCACTTTCTTCGACATACAGGAAGAACCTGCGGTCATCGAATGTCAGACTTTCCGAGTCGATTGAAACAAGAGTTACAATACCTTGGATTTGCATAATTACCCTAGGGCCCTAGGGATCCAAGTACCTTCTCAGAAGGTACTTGCAAACCTATAGCTACATAACAGTGTCTCCAATCACATCTAATCACCTTCTGAACCAAAACAATAATAACAAAACATGTCCCCAGGTTTGAGGATTTATTGCAGGAACCGGAGAAACAACTAATCACCCGAAGACCACAAGACCAGGATACCCAGGCACTCCGTGAAATCTAACCAGCCCGACTGGTCCCTCCAAGACCAGGGCTTGATGAGGGCGCCTGGTTGCTGCGGGTGTTGGCCAGTCAACAAGGCTAGCTGAATGATTAAGGGCGCACTCCACAGTGGCACTTACTGTGTCTTCACGTTCTTCATGGTTCTTCCCAAACACTCCTGGACCCCCCAATAAAAACAACTCGCTCCAGTCTAATGATTCCACCTTCGGCGCTGAGAGGGTCTGCTTCTCGAGGAGCTCAAAAGTTAAAGAGTTTTTCCCAACATGCAAATACCTCGGCAGCAAAGGGTCTATAGGTGCGATGCCGGCAGTGGATCCGGCATGGAGTGTTTGACACGAAGCACAAAAAAACAAAAACGCATCATATGGAATACTATGGAAGTGGAATTTCCACTGCTGGCATTGTAGAGAATCGTCTTTCCAGGAGGTGATGTTCTCTACTTCCATGCTTGGTCCACACTCCATAAGTCAAAGATGGAACAATGGTTTCCTTGGATTTCCTTTGGCTCCCAGGAAGCCCGAGAAAAAGAAGCAACTCTTCCCCAGGTTTGGCAGTTCACTACGCAGTTCGAGAACAATAACACCCACCCAGGTTCATCCACGAAGGACTGGGGGACTGGAACGTGCTTCACTCTCACTGCCTGGACTGAAAACACGACTCTGCCTCCAAGAGGCAGTGTGACCAGCTCAAAATTCACAGGGAGGTTCTTCTTTGTGCAGTGCACACACCAAGAGAAAGAGATCATGGTTGCTACTACTATTTTATATATATATATTATCATATTCTGTTTGTTGATTAAAACAGTGCGTATACGGACTGCCACACCCAAAAAACCTCGTGCGGAGCATGTAGACTTCTGAAACTGAGACACCCTTCTTCGGTGCCTCGGTCTAGACTCTGATAACATTCTGAGAATGCTATAAGCAGCTTATACGGGTCTAGACCGGGGCATAAACGATGAATGTTCGTGTATTTTCTCTTGTCTGGCCAAAACTCACTGGCTATAGAGCGGCTAGAGTATACCCTCAAATGTCCAACAACCATTGTCTGATTGGTATTTTTACCTAATAACCATTGTTTTACTAGGGGTGTTCAACTACAAAACAAGGTCAACACCATTCTTTTCATGGTCGAACACGGGTCGAACGGCGAACGGGCAATCACCGGATTCCAGCCGTTCAGGCTTCCGGTGTCCGTTCGGCGCTCGGCGCTCGCCTTGGACCCTTGGCGCTCGGCTTCATGGAGCCCAGAGGGCCGAGAGTCGACTGTCTGCATCGACGTCCCATGTGCATGACAGTCCAGACTCATGTGCATCCCATGAGTATTAAGGCACTTGTTACTAGTAGCTTCTTGTTACTACTAGTAAGGCACTTGTTCCTAGTAGCGATGCACTTGTTCCTAGTAGCTACTAGTGACTCTGTCAAATACCTCATGCACCTCAAATACGTGTTCATCATGGAGTTCACAAACAACATGGTCGTTGTAGAGGATCTCAATCTCATGGTCGTTCGAGGGTCCATTTGCAACTTCGATGTTACCACGGAGGTTGATGTACCAGCACCCGACGGTGATGTACCAGCACCCGACAGCGTTCTCAGGTCACAACTCTGGCACTTGACAGAGTCCCCAAAAACCACCAGAGAAGAGACCTGTGAAGTCGGGTGCTGCGTACATATCATCTCTTTATTCCAAAACCTTATCGAGTGTTCTCATGTGTTTCTATGCTCTCCATGTGCAACTTGCCACATCTCTTGATGTCTCTGCTAGATCTGCCTTTCCTCCGGCTTCACTCTCGCCATCCACCCGCCATCCTCTTGGTCGAGCTTCTGGACCCCTTGGGAGAAGTCGATCCTGCTAGATAGGAAGAAGCACACGGAGTGGGGTCGCAGGGTGAAGCCGTGCTTTAGATCCGCTGGGGATCGAGAAAAAGGATGTACATCCTAGAGAATGGCATATGTATCCCCATTGGGGTGGTGGACCGATAAATCCATGTAAAACCTTGAATTCCATGCCCACCATTGATTTCAGAGCCTGAATCCAGAACAATACCGTTTGAAGGATTTTACACTACAAAAATCGAACTCTCTTGATGGGCGAACAGAAGGCTAAGGTACATATTCATAAATATTCCATACGTGGAGTCTGAGTATTGTGGAGTGTGTAAGGCCCTGTTAGTATAGATTGAGGCAGATTTTGTAAACAGTATGGTGGTGTCTTGTATTACAGTTCATCAATGGCTCCCTCCAACGCAGAATACACGCACCATCACTGAACAACATCCTGGTTAACCAATTTGAGGCCACAGTTTGGGGTCACTTAGCCTCTAGAAGGGTCAGATGCAGGCCCAAGAAACATCCATGGCCAAGATCGACCCCCCCAACAAAAAATCAACTTTGGAGAACCGCAGGCCCTTCCAACTTACAGGGCGAGGGGAGAACAACATCGTGACCCTGCAAGCAAGAAACAACCGATCTATCAAAATGAGTGTGCCCAAGAATCCATGAGGGTCGGGGTCGCACCTTGTCCGTTTTCGCAGGGGTACGGACCCGGTTCCCAAACCCTATGTGTTGGGAACCGGGCCCAGATTCTTAAGAGGTAGCTCGAATGAAGACAAAGAGACCGAACTTCCCGGTGGTTCCGAAGGTTCGGGACATCCGGAGAGTCACCAGTCTACCCGGACGATTGGGGGTCCTATGTTCAAGTACACACCCAAATGAGTGCTCAGACACAGGAAGACCAGGACAATCCTGTCTGGGTGTCTGGAGATCCCGGATAGTAGCGTAGGGTAGTCCAGCCAGGGCACCCAAACAGGATGGTATCAAAGAACTCTAAAAAAATACCTTTCACGAAGACCTGACCAGGGTCCTGTGCACCACGCTGGATAATGTTTGGCGAATGGTTCGCAAGACTACCCTAGGCTTATCTAGGATTCATGGTTTTGAACGAACCTCCATTATATAATATATCATATATCTAAAGATTTCACCCTACACAGCCAGGTCGTTCCCGAAATTCGTCGACTCCCAGCAGATCTCGAATCTCCTCAGGCGCTGCTCGTGATCTTCCAACTTCGCATGCAGGTGCGTCCCCTCGCGAAACATGCGAGAAACTGACAGAGCGTAGGTTGCTGGGAAGCAAACGGTGATCTTCTTTTGAACCTATAGTCCGCTACTTTAGGACAAGATGCAGCCATAAAGGATAGGAGAGGCAAGGATGCGGTAAACATACAGAGTTGCAGAGCCCTGACAATCCGAATATTTGCCTACTACCAGCACGCTCCAAGAGGAGTCTACAAACGGCCTCTTAGAGGTTAAGGGGTGTCCAAAACCCACCTGTCGGAAGGTGCTGGTATATAGGTGATTTTAAGATGCCTTAAGGGTCGATGTAGGTCAATCGTCCAGTCCCAAACAGCTCGTGTCTGGGAATACTTAGGGTATCCAATCTTGGCACCGGAACATTGATGGTGCCAGAGTTCAACAAAGGTCTAGAGTCCAGATTTTGGTTGCCCACCCATTGATTCAACATCCTTGCAGTATCCAGAAAAAAAACAAAGACACATTGCCTTACTATGCATCCGCTCCTTAGCCCTAAGCTCGCATCCTCTCATGTCCCAGGTGGCACTCACACCGAGTGCACCCTGCAGCCAGCCTGGGTGACGCAACGAATGGACGCCGTCTGCTCGACGGGTACTCGACCCGTTACACCCGAACCCGGCCATGTTGGCATTCAGCACTGATTTTAAAGACGCTCTTCCCCATGTAAGAAAGACTTGTTTTTTCTAGTAAGGGGTTGGGGAACTCCTTGTAGCTCCTCGGCTCCCTGTTGAATGGGGAATATGGATGCCCCTGGCTCCTTAGCTCCCTCCTGAGCAAAAGCTAGTTTTTTACATTGTAAGAAAAAAGTACATGTTGCGGCTGAAACTGCTTTGGGGGATGTAAGACCCCTCATTGCACGGGGGGGGTTGGGAAAAGGCCTCAACCCGTACGAACCATGAGGTCAGTCAAACCAGGTTTAACGCCGGGCCCGCCGGGTCAGTCGACCATGCTTGCTGCGATCATCGGTTCCGGTAAGTCTGAAGCAGGACGGACATGTGGTCCAACTTGGTATTTGGTGGTCCCCCCAAAACCGCAATACACCTGGACCTCTAGGCTAGAACCATGCTGTTGAGCTGTTTCCAAATGTTTGGGTCTCTTGTTCATGGCACGGCACGGCAGCTGTTGAGCAACGTCTGAGCCTTCCCCTTCCCCGACGACCTCTTGGGACAGCCAAACTGGGCTCGCCTCATGGACCCCACGGACCGTTCGTAGCCCAAACCGTTGGGAGACGGACCCAAAAACATCCATGAAGCATACCACCCCAAAGGCTCAGACCCTCATAGCCACGGTTTTGACCCGGTTTTTGGGACCGGCCAGCCCCCGGAACGGATCGATGGGTGTTTCCTGGTGACAAGTTGGCAGGTTCACCACCTGGCTGTGGGTCATCTTGAGCCGAACCGAACGGAGGGTCCAGGAATGGGTTTTGATGGGTCCAAAGTAGCTGAGCTCATGTTCCGAGGTAACTGGCCGACTCGGAGGTTCTTTTCTTATTACCTAGCACACCTGGCCCATATCCTCAGGTTCGGTGGTTAGACCCCTAGCACCCACCCCAACCACCTTCTAGGTATATAGGTAGTTGGAGCCCCAGGAATTCTTCTTCGCCCCCGCCCACAAAGCTCACGAATCTCTTCGCCTTGAGAGAGATGAGGTCAGCGAGCTTGGAGTTAAGAACATGAGAGAGTCCAGACACTCCGTGAGAGAACAAACAAGTTGCAGTGCCTTCAAACAAAAAATGGAAAACAAATGTCACCCCCAAAAAGATCAAACAGTATCTCTAGGGATCCAAGTACCTTCTGAGGTTCGGTACGACTGGATCCCTAGAATCTCATACTGACTCATTTGGGATTTGTTTGGAACGGCAGGGACAGACCCCCGGAAGATGAGGCGATGATGACCAATTGGATGTTTGCAACCGCAGTGACAGCACAAGCGTAACTTTAGCTCGCTTGGGTGAGACGAGTATAGATCTTAATAGATCTTAATAGACCCTCTCTTAAAAAAGAACACAAACAAACTATATAGACCCGGAAAAGAAAGGATTTTGGATGGCTAGATTCGATGATCTTCTAGTCCCAAATGGTGTTTCCCCCAACCCATCGAGGTCCAACCCATGAATTCCCACACCACGACCGACTCACCGACTCACCGTGGCACCGTCTCACCGTTTTCGTCGTCTCTCACCGCCCCGGGACGGAGTTTCCGGTGGGCCAAGCCGGGGCAATAGGGCTCCGAAGCCTGGTTGCCGGGAGCGGAGGGGAGGCGGGTCGGGGTTGGTTCCGGAGCTGTGCGTGGTCCAACTGGCTTCAAACGAACTGTCCCGGTCCTGCTTGGAGACCGGTCCGGCGACTCTTGATTTGTACGGTCCTTTCGAAGAAGACAATTCCTCTGCAGACAGGTCTAAACTTGGTCCTGATAACTTCATTGTGGTATTTCTGTATGAATAACTTCAGTAAGATGATGTCTTTGACCTGTGGGGAATCATTTACAAAATAGATCTTGCCTCTGTGCATGGTGGCTTTTGGGGCACCCTCACGCTCAGGAAATTTTGTGTGACAATCTTTGAGTAGACACAAGATGTGCAACCATGCCAAAATCCCGCTCCTAGTAGTTATGTCTCCTTCAATTTCGTTGGATGACCATGTTCCTCTACAAACAGTGGGAGGTTCCACTTCCATGTATGTTGCAGGGTAGATCTCTTGAACAGTTTGGACCTTGGTGAAACGAAACTGGACCCTGGTGAAACAATGCAAGCAGGAATCCAATCAAACTTCTCAGCCTTTGAACGTGTGTCCAGTGTGTCCCAAGTTTGCTACTGGCAAAAGGTGCCACACCTTTGTGTTTGTTTGGCGGTCCCTGGTGGCCTGGGTGCCATTGGGATCTTGAGAAACTTCTGCCATGGGATCTTGTTCAGAGTTGGTACCTAGAGATGAAATGGTTCAAACCAAGTGCTACACTTTCGGATATCTTCTTAGGCAAATCTGTCCAAGTTAGGCGAAGTGGAAAACATCCAGTTTCAAGAGGTGTAGCAAAAGTAGTATCAGTCTTCCAGCACTCCTGTTACTCTTTTCCCTGAACATGTGTTTATCCCTTAAGGATTTAAGATGTGTGCACCCATGATCATGCAGACATGTTTCGCAGAACTAACTAGTTCCGTTGGACCACCCAAACGAACAAAAAATAGATCAGAATAACTCAATCTGCGTGGTCAACCAACACACGGAAAGCTTCAAGATGTTGTTCCAACAAATAAACCAGTCACCGACCTCACCTATTCATACCCTCGGCTTAAAACCAAATAGACAAAACGTTTCTTGGAATGTCTTACGGAACCTGAACACATCTTCCCCAGGTTTGGGGATTTACCCTGATTTACCCGCAAAAAAAACCACGAAACTCACCAACGTCTGCACTGCCAGTTCTCAGCTTTGGGAGAACTGGCCTCAGTTCCTCCGCGCTTCGGTCGCCTTGGTGTTCAGAAGCACTTGGTCGCCGGCACTAACTCGGACCTGGCACGGTGAGAAACGGAGGACACCACCGACGCACCGACAAGGGGGGCACAGGGAAGGGCCCAAGCTTGGGTACCATGCCTTGTGCCCTTATAAGCTTATAGGTGTATCATATCCGGATCCCATAGGCATATATACCACCAATACCATTTACACCGGTACCTTTTCTTTGAACCCATATATCCCATGACCAGCCCATGACCAGGGCCTATTCGTGGATGATGGGGCCTAGTTGCAGGCCTTGTCATTTCTATCGTTGACCGACTGTTGCACGTAATAGGACAGACCCAACATATGCCTATACCAGGGGCCGCAGGGGTGTCTAATAATCTAATTATCAACCAACCAAGCCAACATCGGACCACCGGAACATAGTAGGACCGATAGCAGGACGCGTAAACTGCCCGTATCGGCAATGAGTGGAATTGTCCGGCAGTGGAGGTTTATTCGAGTCTGGGGTCCTCGAAGAAAGAGAAAGAGAGAGGGAGGGAGGGAGGGAGAGAGGGAGAGAGAGAGAGAGAGACAGAGTGTCCAACATGTTAATATATATTTTG